TCAAGAAACAAAAGGACCCTAATAAGAAGCAAAATAAAAGTGCTAAGAAAAAAGTCGTTTTACTAACAAAATTCAATCCTCCAAAAGGAACTTAATCAGCTCCCAAGCAGAGCATTAAAGATCTGCTTTTCAAGTCAAATGAAGATAAAACTAAGAGTAATTCTGACCATAACTCTTAATCATAAGAGGAGGAAAAGAAAAAAGACATAATTGAAGTAAATTCGAGCACTGACTTAAATGATAATAAAATTGAAAATCAAATTGAAGAGCCAATGCAAATATAGGAACCAATAATTGAAGAAAGGAAAATTGAAAAAAATGAGGATGACCCTAGTGATTTTGAAATAACCCCTGAGAGTCAGATATTCGATGCTTTCTCATCTGATAATAATTCATAAGAAGCATTGTAGACATCCTTTAAAGCAAAATAAAGAAGACAAGAGGATGGAGATAGTAAAGTATTTGAAAATTGCTTATTTGTTGTGTTCGATGTAAGTAGAGAACCATTGGGAACAGTTTTGATATTGAAAAGTTAGGATGACGATAATGTTACTGTAAACTTTAGGATAACTTTAAGAGGGCATTGGATAAGGACACCAATCGATCATGGTGATATAGTGAGAATAATTGGTTAGTTTAAAAAATCAAATCAATATACTCTTACACTAGATGATGATGAACCTGATCCAGAGACAGGTGCGCTTTATTTGATTCTTGAACCTTATATATTAATACCAAGCACAACAATAGTTTCGAGTTTCCCGTGTGTGAGGAGATCAATTTTTGCAGATCAATTTAGAACTAATCTTGGTGATTTCGAATATCCATTAGTCATAGGAAATATAATTCATGAAGCTTTTGAAAGAGTAATATTGAAGTAGAGATTTGATGATGAATATTTAGAATAAGTTTATAAGGAATCTATGAAGAATCATATTTGCCATCTATATAAACTGGCTGAACCTGATGTAAAAGTATTTAATGACCTAAAGTTAGCAGCCAAAAATATTTAAAATTGGGTCTCAAATATGCTTGATCGTAAGTCATTTTTATATTATTAACCATGATAAATTAGCTGGAAGAAATAGTTTTAGTATTGTATTCGAAAAAACGATAGCTACTGAGTAGGAATTTAATTCATTTATATATGGTATCAAAGGAAAACTCGATGCAACTGTTGTTATTAAGCAAAATATTCATGGCAATCAAT